CACTCTAATATTCACAGGAACTATCCATTTGTTCCTAATTATCTGATAAATGAAAATTTGCATTTTAAAATCTAAGTTTATTTTTAAATCTTACTGTTAATCTTAAACTTCACAATAAAAATATAGTTCTCTGGCAAAGTAACAAGTGATATAGACGGTTTAATTCCACTTCAGAAGATTCTAAAATTGAGCTCCTCTCAAATACCATTCAGCTGGTGAAACAAATACTAGTAACTATAGTGAAGTTGTATTAGGAATGAAAATCCTTGAAACCACACATAACAATGATTCTTTGTTAAGAAACTTTATTCTTTCACTTCCTACTCCTCTTCATCTGCTTTTAAACAGATTTAAAAGCAAACCAAAAAAAAAAAATTACAAATATCCTTAAATTGCCTACCAACAAAGCAAATGGATTGTAGCTGAAACCTTGCTTATGATTTCTTCTACAAAATTTATCATCTCATCCTCTTTAACACTAATTAACATGGTATTCTTTCACTCCACCTCCATTTCTCCCTCTGGTTTCATTTGATCTGTTATTCTCAATCTCTTCTGTTTACACAAGGAGTAACAAAAAGTGATCACCTTTTTAGCTGAAAACAATGGCTGTGGCTTAATATCCAACAGTAGACAGCTTCATATTGCCATTTGGGACACAGAGAATGGACACAGGTGTTCTCTGAGACATTGATCCCCCAGCTCTCCTGGGGCTGCAGCACCTCTAGCAAGCCAAGAATAGTCTTATCCATTTACTCCAGTGTAGCATACAATATTTTTCCGTCTGCCTTGATTTGGAAAGGGTTAGGAAACATTGCTCTAGAGCATACACTGCTACATCAAATAGTGTAAGAAAAAAGAAAAATTAAAGAAAAATTCAATCAAGTCCTTTAAAAGTAGCAATAATTTTTTCAGGATGGTAGCTATATTAAGACTAGATTTTAGTTATTAGCATTTTCCCTTGGGACTTCCCTGGTAGTACAGTGGTTAAGAATCCGCCTGCCAGTGCAGGTGACATGGGTTCGAGTCCTGGTCCAGGAAGACCCCACATGCCACGGAGCAACTAAGCCCGTGCGCCACAACTACTGAGCCTGCCTTCTAGAGCCCACAAGCCACAACGACTGAGCCCTTGTGCTGCAACTACTGAAGCCCACGGGCCTAGAGCCCATGCTCCACAACAAGAGAAGCAACCACAGTGAGAAGCCGGTGCACCGCAATGAAGAGTAGCCCCCTCTTGCTGCAACTAGAGAAAGGCCACGCACAGCAACGAAGACCCAACACAGCCAAAAATAAATAAATAAATAATTTTTTTAAACATTTTCCCTTGAGATTGGAGATATGGTTTATTTTAGTAAAAAAAAAAGCTGAAAACATTTTTTACATTTGATCAGCTAAATGCCAACTTTGAATTTCACCTGTTTTCATAACCAACAATCATGTGAACGATCCTAATCATATGCTCTTCGTAACAATTAGTTTTCCATAAAAAGTCACTGCGTTCAAACATGTAACTGAACTCAAGTTCAAGCAATTCTAAAACTAGAATTTAGGATTATTTAGTTATTATTAAGTGGGTAATGACTCTTTAGTAACTAAACAACACATTAGTTCCTGATAATGAACACAGACATGAGGCGATTCTACACAACAGGCAAGAAACTATAATTCATTCCTCTAAAAGCCAAATAGGTTTCACATTCACTTCCTGATTACAATCCTTGCAATAAATTCTGATACGCTGCCTGAAAGAGACCAGGTTATACTTAAGTGGGGGAAAAACAAAAATAAAGCACTCAACGCTTTTTGTGAAATCCAGCAGTCTTAAAGAGGGTGCTTCAAACATCAATGTGCATAAAAATCACTTGGGGATTTTGTTAAAATTCAGATTCTGATTCAGTAGGACTGGGATGGAGCCTGGTATTTCTAAGGAGCTCCAAGTTGATGCTTACGCTCCTGGTCCACAGACGACATACTGCATACTTGACACCGCTACTTCCATGACACTGGTTAAGATAATGGATAAAAATTTAGAGCAGGGGCTTCCCTGGTGGCGCAGTGGTTGAGAGTCCGCCTGCCGATGCAGGGGACAAGGGTTTGTGCCCCGGAAGATCCCACATGCCGCGGATCGGCTGGGCCCGTGAGCCATGGCCGCTGAGCCTGCGCGTCTGGAGCCTGTGCTCTGCAACTGGAGAGGCCATAACAATGAGAGGCCCGCGTACCGCAAAAAAAAAAATAAAAAAATTTAGAGCAGACACCAATCCTCACCTCATTTAATTTTTATGGTTTCATGAGATTAATCTGCGGGGGGATGGTTATTAAACTGTTGATGTTTGAGAGAAACGCAGATAACTTCTGAAAGGTGGGGGCATTGAGAGGCTGTAATAATAACAAGGGCAAACACCTACAGAGCACTTACTATGTGCCAGTGAAATGTCTTAAGTACTTCACTTAGGTTAACTGATTCTCCTAACACTGTGTGGTAGAAACTATTGCCAGCCCTATTCTACAGAAGGTAAACTGAGTGACAAAGACTTTACTCAGATTGCATGTAACTAATAAATGCCAGAGCCAGGATTTAAATCCAAGCAGTCTAGTTCCAGAGTGTACACTTTTAATCCCTATTCTAACAGTGTCTCTCCCAAGAACATACAACAACAGAATTAAAACAGCAAATCCAAATGGCTTACTCTTAGAGAAAATGATGCAAGTGTTAAAAAGTGTAAAGTGTTAAAGAACAGAGTGAGCAACAGAGGTTCTCTTCAGGTGACTGACCACTGAGGCTTGGTGAACACCATGACTTAACAATATGTAGTATTTTGCTATATTAGAAATTGTTCTAGACTTCAGCATAATAGCTAAATAGTTGAAAAACACTTTTTTTTAATTTTTTTTTAATGGGAGACCACTTCAGTGGCAAAAATGGGGTTTCACTTCATGGAATAAGCAGTTTGAGACCAATGTCCCAGGGGCGACTAGTAACGAAGAGTTCTGACACCCAGGACTTATAATAGCAGCAGTGGCAGACATACCTGAAATGACAAGTAATGAAAATTGCTTTAGCAAAAATATGTTGGACTGAAGGGATGAGTAACTAAAAGTAGAAACGTAAGGGACAAAGCATAACATGACCAGGAATTTGATACTGTTGAGTTGAGGGGAAGAAATGGAAAAATTAAACTGCTATTTCAAACAAAGAAATACAGGAAGGAAACAAACATTAAAGTCTGAATAATTTTTAGGAGAATAAGAACTGGTCATCAGAAAAGATTTTCTAAGCAATGGTTAACTGTTCAGACAGTACAGCTGCAGAAGATATAGGACTAAACAGATGGATATGGTCAAACAAAAGTAGATGAGTAATCATCACTTCAATGAGCCCAAATATGAATATGGCTGACCAAGCACAAAAGAGGTCCCAGGAAACACAGTACACAGGCCTACAGAATATGCAGAAAGTGAAAATATTAACCTTCAGACATCACATTCATTCATTTGACAAACATTTCTTGAGACACATCATAAGTCTGGCACTATTCTAGGTGCCAGGGATACAGGGGTGACCATACCAGGTCAAAAGCCCTGCCTTCATAGACCTACATTCTAGTGGGAGAAACTAATAGACTTGGAAGAGAATACTGAATATTGAAAGCCTAGAATGAAGCCCTTTAATATAGGAGAATATACAGATCTATTTATGGGACATAAGTTAACAAAATATTAACCCCTCCTTCCCCAGCAGAGGAAGCTCTGTAGCCCGAAGTGTTCCTCATTAAGCATTCTTTGTCCTCTCAAAAAAGACCCTAAAATGATACATGCATTTAAAATATATCTACAAATAAAGTACAATATGACTTTTACTTCCAAGAATGGCTATAAGTACTACTCCCAGACAGGCAACACAATAAATTGTACTTCAAAGTTTTCCAAATGCAACACTTCTTGGATCAAAACATTTTATTAGTGTAACCATTTTTAAAATAACTGGAAATGCTTCTATAATATACCACAAAATTATAAGTGGAAAAAGTATCCAAATAAAAGAAAACAAATCTTGAAGTTACAAAAAAGTCAAGATTTGGGCTTGGTGGACTTTTAAAGAATCTCACCAATATTTGATTTTAGCCTCTGACTACCCTAGGCTGTAACACCTGCCTCAGACTGCCAAAAAATTAAGTTCAACTGAGTACAGGTGTCAGTTATTACGTGCAAAAATTTTAAGAGGCTGTGACACCTTCTGGGTCTTGTCTACCAACACCTACACACTACAGAAAGCTGATTTAAACCTACCACTTCTTTTAAGTGTTTCTTAACGAGCAATCTGTTCTCTCTATACAAATAAGGAGAAACAATAAGAAAATATTTGTTTCAACATGAACTTTCCTTATAACAATGCATTACACAGTTGGATCTCTTTGGCTTTACAATGCTAACATTTTTCTGTGCTACAGTACCCTGGATGTACCTAACATTCTGGAGAACAAATACTGTGATCCCCAAAGTCTGAAAATGTTACTCAAGTTTTTTTGGTTAAAAAAACCAAAACCCGTTTTTAATTACAAAATTAAAGTGACTAGCAAGCAAAGATTAGGTGTAAAATGAACTGATTCTCTTTTCACCATACCCTTGCCACAATACTGCACGAGTGTAGACTTCGGTACATACTCTGAATCAGTAAGTCATATGGGAGAAGTGAAACAATCTGGACCAAAGAAATGCTTCCACAAATAAATTAACTTCATTCCAGTACTCAAAGGGATCTTTAAAGTTACTGCCTACGCAAGTGTTGTCTTACGCTTTATTTCCTGGCACAAGCTCATCTTGAGATTTTAAACCTTCCTGGCTTTTAGATGCATATGAGATGGCCAGGCTTTCAAAAGATTATCTCTGAATACGATGAGTTGGGAAACAGGCAGGATCTGATACTGGGTGACCCAACCGAGCCAACAAAATGCTGTCTTAATTTAGTGAGTCCCTGACTTGTAGGAGTTAAAAACTCTCACCCCTTATATTGCGATGACGTAATCTTCCCCACTGCATTTCTCTTGGACTTAAAGGGGAGGACAAAAAAAAAAAAAAAAAAACGAACAAAGAAAATTTCCCCCTAAAGAGAGGAATTAGGCAAACGGCAGAACGACAGTTTCGGGAGGTGGTTAGGTAACTCCCTGAAAGGGAAGCTTCAGCTGAATAGGCAGGGCGAGTTGGAGAAGGAAATGTAAATGGTATTAGGAACTCGACCTAAGGCAGGAATAAAGGAGACCGGAGAAGCGGTGACCAGGCCCACCCCGCGGGACAAGGCGTCGGGCTGCGGGACCGCTGAGGGAGGCGCACGGCAAGCAAAGCCCCGGGCCGTCAGCGAGCCGCGCGCCGCCCGGCCGCCACTTCCCCGCCGCGCTCGCAGTCCGCTCCCCTCCCCCCGCTCGCCGCAAAATGTCCGCGGCGGCGCCCGGCGAAGCAGGAAGTCGAAGCCGGGGCGCGGGGGGCAGACCCGGCCAGGGAGTCCGGGTCACCGCCACACCGCGCACCCCAGGCGCCCGCCAGCCGCTCCGCGGTCCAAGGCGCCCCGGACCGCCGCCCGCCCTAGGGGTCCGCGGCGCCGGGGGGAGGGGAGCAGGGAGGTCGGGATGGGTGTGACCCTTTCCTTCCGCCGCTGCCAGGTGACAGCCCGGCCCCGGCCGCGCCCTCGGCCCTGCCCCGGCGTCCCGGCCGCACACCTCTTGCCTGACCTGTGCCCCCCCAGCCTTGCCCTCCGCGACCCCCTCCGCTCCGTCCCCCGACAGAACCCGGACCCGCGCGAGCCCGGATGGCGCCGCGCGAGCCCAGCACCCCACCCCCACCGCGCGCGCCCCACGATCCCAGGCTTCCAGGGATCCCAGAGATGGGGTGTCCCCCCCCGGACGGGGAAAGGCCGGGGGCAGCGCGGCGGGGACCGGACTGTGGGGAGGCCGCTCCCGCGGGGAGCCTCGGGCCCCGCACTCACCTCAGCTCCTCCGCCGGGGCGTTGGCAGCAGTGCGCGGGGTCTCCTCAGCTGCCGGACAGGGGCACGCGCCTGACGTCAGCACGCAGGACACGCACGGTTGGGTGCCCGCGGAAAAGGGAGGGACCGGGAGGCGAAAAGAGGCAGAGCGGTTCCGGGCGGGGCCTGAACTCATCCCCTGCCCGGGTTCTGGCCACCTAACGCGCACGCGCCAGCCAGCGCTGCTTGCTAGTTGGTGGCTGGTGTCGGTAACTCTCCACTGGTTCCGCGGAATTCGTAATAATGCTATAAACGGTCGTTTGCGAAGCGCTTCCACTAACATGTCTTTTGATACTTGCAACCTTACAAAGTTTTATCATCCCGATTTTGCAGAGAAGACAGTGGCTACTCAAACAGGGGCAGTGACTTGCCCGAGATCACACTACAAGTGGACGGCCTCCTGACTCCCCAGGCCTGTATTCACTCCGCCTTGGCGTGAGAGCTGAGGGCTCGCTTCTCATCTCTGCCAACAACCCACTATCCCTCGCTCCAACCACATAGGTCGTCTTTTGGTTTAGAGACTTCCTCCCCACCGAAAGGCCTTGCACTCACCGGTTCTCCTGGCTTCCTCCTCTTCAGCCCTTCCTTTGGCTTTCAGCCTTCAAATGTCACTGCCTTCCTGATCATCCTATACACACAGCACCTGTTTATCATGTGTCTTTCCGGCTAGTGTGCAAACTTCGGGAGAATAGGAAACTTCTCTGTCTTTTCTCAGATGTTTCCCAGTGTTAGAGGGAAATAGCTTATCTTAATAATAGTTCGTTTATTGATAACTACCACAGTTATTTGGCCAAGAAAAACACCTATTTCCAATATACTTAATAGTCATATTTTCTTTTGGACTTTTTAATTACACAAGAAGAATAACTACATTTTTTGAGTATTTACTACAGGTATGGTGCTAACAGGTTTGCACGTAATAGTAGGTAATGTAAAATTCATAACCACCCTATAAGTTAAGAACTATTACCCCCACTTATTGATGCATGAAGGTGTTAAGGACTTACCCAACGTCACCGAGCCAGGCAGTAGCAGAGCTGGGACTTGAACCCAAGAGGCTGGCTCTAGTTCACCTACATACTACCTAGCAGGTTTATTGCAAAGAAATCAGAAGATAAGCTTCAACTGTAGTCCTACCCCTAGTGATGCCAACTATTAATATTTTGGTGTACACCTTTCCAGATATTCATAGATATAGATACATGTATGCACATTTGTTGCACAAAGATTGTACTCTGCATTTCTCTCTCAAAACTACATTGTGAGCATCTTTCCATGTCAAATAAAGCATCATTTTTAAAGGCTGCATTCTACTATATGGGCATTACAATGTTTATTCAATCAATCTCCTACTGTTGGAATTTAGGTTATCTTTGGCTACTGTAATTTTTTTTTTTTTTTTTTTTTTTTTTTTTGTGGTACGTAGGCCTCTCACTGTTGTGGCCGCTCCTGTTGCGGAGCACAGGCTCTGGACGCGCAGGCCCAGCGGCCGTGGCCCACGGGCCCAGCCGCTCCGCGGCATGTGGGATCTTCCCGGACCGGGGCACGAACCCGTGTCCCCTGCATCGGCAGGCGGACTCTCAACCACTGCGCCACCAGGGAAGCCCTCTACTGTAAATTTTTGACTCTTGTAAAAATGCATGAGCTTAATTTCTTAAACTTGAGGGAAAACTGGTTGATTTCTCCCCCTGCAAGACCAGTTGGCAGTGACCTTTCCTCCATCCCATCTCACAATTCCATCAGTGTCCCCAGACAGTGTCTGCCCTTTCCCTCAGCAGCAATATCTCATGAGGTGTCACCCAACCCACTTGGCTTTTCCTGCCTTTATTCTGAAGACAAGGACTCACTTAGCACTTTGTCTATCGTGTTGTCAGGTTTTTGTCAGAAGGACCCTCCCCAACATTTTCACAGCCCCCAAGGCAATAGCGTTACTATTTGACCCCAGTCTACACCTTCCCCTGCTGCCAGCCCAGACCCCCACCTCCTAGTGCCCCTTCCCCACAACACCACTGGCTGCAGCTGCTTCATATTGGCAGAAGGCGCAGCCTGTGGGTCTCCAGGCCTCCTTCCCCTGTGGTTACCAGCCCAGGGTCTGTTCCTTCTTCCTTTGGTAACAGCACTTCCACTTCTCCTGGGGCAACCCTTCCCCCAGTTCTCAATCCCTGTGGCTCTAGAGGAGATGTCTACCCCTAGTTGCAGGGATAGACATGTGACCCATGCTTGGCCAATCAGCATTTTAGAGAGCCCTCTTGCCACAGCATCTCAGCAATGGGCGTATGACACAATGAGAACCACTGAGTCTTAGGTCAATCCTGAGCCTTTGGTCAGCACTGTCCAGTTGAATGAATCTATCTTTTGAGGGCAGGATGTACTCATGGCACTGCTGGTGGCCATCTTCCCACTGTAAGGCAAGAGACTACCTGAGAATGAGTCCAAGACAGAGGGCAAAACAGAGCTGAGAGATGGGACAGTGGAACCAAGTCCTAGGAGCATTGTTTGAGCCATTGGATCCAGTCTTGCTTCAATTTTCAGTCATATTAGCCAATAAATTCCCTCTTCTCCCTGCAGTGGAAGCCCAAAGTCCTAACCACCAGACTACCAGGGAATTCCCTGGATCTCAATTCTTATTGGGTCACTTCCCAGTTCAGGAAACCATGTTTTCTCCTTTGCCTTCAAAATAAAATTCAAAGTCCTTTAGCCAGGTATTCTATGTCCTCCATGATCTGGCACCAACTTGCCTTTCAAAGTTATTTCCCTTTCAAAGTTATTTCCCTTTCCCTTCTGTATTAGTCAGAGTTCTCCAGAGAAACAGAACCAATAGGAGATTAGATAGATAGATAAATAGATAGACAGAGATCTACATCTACCTATATCTATAGTATTTATCTATATTTCCTATTAGATACCTATCTACCTGAAGAGATTTATTATACACAATTTATCACACAATCATGGAGGCTGATAAGTCCCAAGATCTGCAGGGTGAGTTGGCAAGCTGGAGACCCAGGAACTGGTATAGTTCCAGTCCAAGTCCGACAGCCTAAGAACCAGAAGAGCCAATGTTTCACTTGCAGTCCAGTGGCCAGCAGGCTTAAGACCCAGGAAAAGTCAATGTTTCAGTTTGAGTCCAAAGCCAGGAAAAAGTCTTCCTTACTCAAGGGTGGGTCAGCTTTTTGTTCTATTTAGGCCTTCAACTGATTGGACAAGGCCCACCACATTAGGGAGTGCAATCTTCTCTACTCAGATATTAATATCATCCAGACACATCCAAAATAATGTTTGACCAAATATCTCAGCACCCCATGGCCCAGTCAAGTTGACATACAAAATTAACCATCATGGGACTTCCCTGGTAGAACAGTGGTGAAAGAATCCACCTGACAATGCAAGGGACACACGTTCGATCCCTGGTCCGGGAAGATCCCACGTGCTGTGGAGCAACTAAGCCTGTGTGCCGCAGCTACTGAGCCTGTGCTCCAGAGCCCGTGGGCCACAACTACTCAGCCCACGCGCCACAACTACTGAAGCCCACACGCCCTAGAGAATGCGTGCCACAACTACTGAGCCTGCGTGCTGCAACTACTGAAGCCCGCACACCTAGGGCCCGTGCTCCACAACGAGAGAAGCCACTGCGATGAGGAGCCTGCGCATGGCAGCAAAGAGTAGCCCCCGCTCACCGCAACTAGAGAAAGCCTGGGCGCAGCAACAAAGACACACGCAGCCAAAACTTTTTTTAAAAAGAAGATACTTTAAAAATAATAATAAAATAAAATAAATAATCACAACTTCTGTCATACACCTTATGCTGAAGCTAGACTAAATTACTTAGTATTGCGCATGCAGGTACCATGATTTCTGGTCTCTGTGACCCTGCTCAGGCTGTTCCCCTTGCCTAGAACAGCTTTCCTGATCATCCAACCTCCCTGTCAAGTCCCACTCTCCTTTCCACCACGAACTGTACCTTTTGCCAACACTGTCCTTGTGTCCCTTCCCACCTCTGTGACTCTGCAGATTCAGTTGTTCCCTTCTCTGTTTGCCAAACTCCTTTTCTTCAAGGACTAGCCTAGATCTCGGCTCTGAAAGCTTCGCTGACAACCCCAGGCACCAATTATTCCCATTACACTTGGTATTTAAAGCATACATATTGGAATCATCTGTATCTGTGCTAACTAAACCATTAGGCCATGAGCAGGCAGGGGCCTTATCTTATTCACTGTTGTCTCCTT